ACACAAACAATGAATAACTGCATATTTAAATTGAGCAGAAGATCCATTCGTTCCAGGGTTTTCGTGTTATACTTGCACAGCAGGTGGACTGACTGTCGGGAATCGAGCCCGTATACAAGACGGTGTGAAAGACTGCTCGTCCGTCATACCACAGACGTTCAAAAATAATAAGGGTATGTAACCCGTCGCATAAACATAAGATCCAGGTAACAAATAATATCAATGATACGCTGGCAAGATGCTTGCCAATTTGATAAGATAGTATCTGCAATTTTTGATCATCTTTTGGTGGAATCTGAAGCTTCATCCCCTGTGATGGGACGTGATTGTGTGTTTGGGTAAATGCGCTGGATGTGGGGTTGTAAATACATACATACATATTCAGGCGGTTGTCCTGGGAATACGGATGAACGCTTTTATGGTCTTGCTCGGTACTAGTGCACAATACCACAAAATGTATACTTCACACACGTCTGACGCTAGACTGTGTGCCAAAGAAATCTTGACATAATAATCTTTATAAAAGAAAAACGCTCCATGATTTGCAGTTGCACGCAATACTGCCAGGTTGCCCAGGTAGGTGAATTTTCTTGAGCAATCCACAACCGGAGCCTTCGGCTAGCCAAACCTGACCCGAAAGGCAGCGGGACGGCGTGTAAAAACCGCAATCCATTGGGCACCGGTGTCCACTTCATCAGATCATACACCCTTTGGACTGCATCAAACGTCCAAGGTGCCCAATACACCTTGATACCCAATCGAACCGGTGACCCCTGCGACAACCGGGAAGGTCTGTGTCTTTCTTACACCTCGTGGTTTGTTTGGAATCAGGGCTTTTGGCCGACTTCCCTAGGTGAACTGCCAGCGGTCCGCCAACCAGGTTATAACCCCGAATGTCGGCCTTTTGTCCTCTCACTTTGGTGGGAAAACATCTCTGCCACGAGCAAGCAGTGAGGAAGACTTCCTCAGCAGAGGCTATTTGAGACGATTGATCTTATGGGAACGTTTCGCGAGGTGCAAAGGAAGGGTGACCAGCCGCAATCAGTACCTTTGATCAGGCATCTCCTTAGTGAGCCTACTACCACCTGCTGGTGTTTTTAGCCTTGAGATACTTTTCTGTGAAAACTGAACTTCCTACTGTTAACCGATCACCCTTCATACTTAATCATGCGCAATCCTCAATTAATTGAACTAGCGATGCATTCTGAAAGCTCCGAACTCGCGGTCTCATTATCATTCATCCATGTCACGTAACCACTGATCCATTCAGATTCTGAATTCCGTAATGCTTGACATGGAAGGTGTCTATGTGTGATTACTGTACCAACCGGGTTACGCGCCGAGGCTAACCTTAATCACCTATTTAGGTTTTTTTCGCTGTTCAAAAATAACCCTCTTTGCTGGAAGCATCATATGCGTATGGAGACGGCTAAACGATTGCCAACTCCAAGTGAAAAACCCCTGGATGCCGGGGAACACTGGCCTCAAAACCTTCATAGCAAATCTGATTCGGTGAGACTTTCAATTGCATTTAAGTCCCCTAGGAAGTGGCGCAAACTCGATTTTGCAAAGCAAAACTTCGTCCTCCACCGTAACGGGTATAAACATCTGCACGGTTCAGTTTCAGTTCTGTTTGCACAACCATTAATCATGCACTGGTTTTGATTGCTATCTTGCGGATACCCATCTGCGCGGTTCGTTTCGGTTGTGCTCCAGTTAAGTAAGTACATAACCACGTAGTAGGTTAGGTAGTTCATTGGTTTTCGGTAGGTACACATGTAGCCGGTCTAAAGGCCGGTGAACTGGCAGGTAGATCGTCAAAGGGTGCCAGCGTTATTATGGCATCAGAATGTGACCAAGCTGGACAGTGAAGTGGTCAACAAGTCAATCAGTGCAGCTAGGTTAATACTGACATCTGATTAACTGAAACAAATTGATCTTATCTTAGAGTAAGTCCGTATGACGTTTACGTGCGTGTGTGTATGGTGGCAAGCAGCATTAACTAGTCAATCAATAATGCTCCAGACATGTGCAGTGAACACGTCAGTCAGCTGTTGGCCCAGTAGTTTTGTCCTTTTGCATTGAGCAATAACTATTCAAGGCCCTCATGCGAATCTATCCCAATTTTTTAACTTTGCATCGGATTATTTGAGGTGTTTACGGTTTATCTATCATTATATTTTGCACCTAGGGCTTGTCGAACTTCAAGCAAGAAAGATGCCGTATCATTTTCTGATCGATTAAGGGATCTATTTTTTTTCTTCAACTTGTGTTTTCGTGCAGACATAACACATCAACCAATGAGCTATACAACCGGGTCACACGGGAATTGTCTCGCGCGTTGTGCAATTGGATTGAAGGGGCTCACGTCAGCGGAAGCAGTCTCTCCAACATTCCCCCATCACGCCTGGGCTCAGATTCGTTCACCTCCGCTGACAATGGGAAGTCTTCAACGGATTCCAATGAATTCAAGGAATCCAAGAAGGCGGAGCCATCTACTACTCCCGCTGGCACCACAACACGCGGCCCTAGTTTGGGAACGGCTGTTCATTCGATGAACACACTGTATGGGATTCTTGTAGCATTGGCTGAATTCGGAGCCCAGTGTTTGCGGATTCTGGTGTTCCCTTTGTTACCAGCATTATGTCAACGGCTCACAGAACTCGTCGAACCACCCAC